CTGTCCCTCCACAGGAGGCAAGAATCTGACCTGGTTGGCTTTTTCTGAGTTGGAAGCCATTTAAATCTGCCACTAATGTGATCTCCAGTGCTGCTGTTTAGCTTTCTGAAAGGTTGGGGAAGCTCCTGGACTAGTTCATTAAAGGCACACAGACTTTGCAGGATCCCTTCCCAGATTGGAAGCTCAGGATTTTTTTTTTTCTTCCCTAGCATCCAAATCTAATTCATATCACTGAGGAAGAGAAAAATCTGTGTTCAGCTGATGTTCAGGTCTCATAACCCAAGTGCTACATGGCACACAAATGCTTTTGGTTTAAGCTCTATGCTTATGTAAGCAATGGGTTGTCCTTCAAGGCTTTAAGAGGACCTGGTTAATTCTGCAAATGCAACACTGAATTTCTTGGTTGTTCTGTTTTTCATTGGTGTGCATACATCAGTGTGCTAAGCTGGTCAAATGTGAGAATTCAGAACAAGTAAATTGGCTGGTATTACATACTAAAACACCCCAAACAATCCAGAACAAAGCATATAATTCTGTCAGGTGAGGGAAGACAGTTGCACTTCCATTTTGTGAGCTGCTCTGAGCAGTTGTGATAATAACAACTCCTTATTCTTAAATAACCTGGGGTTTTATGCAGGTAAGGTTAGTCTTGCTTTCAGGATGATTTTATTCTTGCTAACTATTTGTTGTCACTTTTAGGTGATGTAGAAGAAATAGAAATTCAACAAAAACCAGCCCTGAAGGTTTTCAAAAATATTACTGTGATCCAGGAGCCAGGCATGGTAGTCCTTGAGGTGGGCATTGGTGAGGGAGGGAGAAGTATTTTGTTCTCCAGTTTCTCCAAAATAGCAACATCAGATAAATACTATGCAGAATTCAGTGTTTTAAGTAGCTTTCTGTTGGATGCCTAGGAGAATGAAAGGTAGAACAAAATTCCCCTTGAGCGATGGTCCTGTACTGTTGCATGTTGTTTCATTTAGCCACTGCTGGTTTCCTTTTTGCTGTGACTCAGGAGTGTAATGGCAGATTTGGTGCCCATTTTTTATGTGGCAAGTAGGAATTGGAAATAATGTCAAATGGTGTTTTCTCCCCCTTTCCAACAGTTGTTATTAATAACTGTTTCACAAATGTGTTCAGAAGCATTCAACAGTTTGAATTTTTCACAGGAAGTTACTGGAATATACCAAGTTAAAAGTAGTTAATAACTTGGTGTAAAATGTATGGTAGTCATTTGAAGCTAGAATTCAGAGGAAAGCAAATAGGGGAACACGATGGTTTTATGTTGCATTATTCACTCAGCCCAAAGAATGGTCTCACATTATTACTTATTTTTTTTCTCTTCCAGTGGGTGGCAAATCCTGCTAATGATATGTATGCAGACACTGTGACAACAGTGATACTGGAAGTGCAGTCAAATCCCAAAATACAGAAAGGTACTAAGTTTGGTGCATGCATATTTAACTGAGGCATTGCTTCTTAATTTTTTTATATCAAGCTTAGAGGGATATAATGCCTTGCAATAGATTGTGATCCCCCTGTTGTACTTCCCTTCCTTATGAAACTTTTTAGGGAGTAAGATTTGCTACTTAAAACCAGAATTGCCACTTGGTCTTCCTTATTTGTAAAATGTTAATTTGTTGAAACTGACTCTTACGTGGCTACTGGTAGCTGATTGTGGAAAATGTGTGTTTATCAAAAGCCTTATCCATCAGTGAAAAATGCAGTGATTTTCACAATTAGCTCTTCCTCTAGATCTCTGACTCCTTTAATGAATAAATACTTAAAATAATTATGTTCAGATGAAAATGACTTGATTTAAACTACCTCTTAATTTCAAAACCAAGTCTAAATACAGTATCTTTATTTTTATTTCAACCTCTCTATGCTGAAACATATTCCAGGAATGTCTATGTCTATTACTACTACTCACATTTGCTGTCTGGTTTCACTTTATGTATTCTCTGCATGCTCCTAGCCTCTGTGATGTGGTATTTCTTTATCATAAAAGAAAACAGAGAGATTATAACCAAATTATGAAAGTAGATTATTTTTACTTTTTAGTAAAGGAAATGTGAGAAGTAATGAGCATAACAGTAAAAAGGAGAATTAAAAAGTGAGAATTAGACTTGCAAAGTTTTCTGTTTTAAAATGCGATAAGTACAGGGAGCATATATTTTAAACTTAGGTATTTCCTTGACTCTTCCATCCTTAATACATTTTCTTTGTAAATTGTTTAAATATATATCTCTCTTTTTAGATTGTTTCTTCCTGAAAGTCAATTAGGAACCAGGCAGTAAAAGTTAGCCAGTTTTTGCTCCCAGCAGATGTCTGTGAAAGTAAAATGACTTCTTCTTTTCAGCTGCAGTACATAAAATTTCAAAGAAAGTAGACATGGATGTGTATAGGAAGAGAATGGAGATCATGCTTCAGTAAGTTGGCATATTTTTCAAACAGAAAATGATCAGTTAATCTTGTGAATACAGTAATTTTAGCATAATCCAGTTTAAAGATAGTTATTTTAAAATGCTTTTTGCAAATTTACTTCAGTCTAGTTTCTGTGAGGCCAGGAGTTAAGTAAAGAAAGAGGTGCAGTAGAAAAATCTCAGCATCATTAACACTTTGAATACAGGACTTTCTTCCAGAAGCAGACTTTTATGTTGTCTCCCAGAATGCTGTGGTTGTGGAAGTACCGTTTTGGTACCACTCTGATGTATGTTTTGTTATTTACATAGAAATCCTGCCTCTTTTGAAATCAAAGGAATCCTTCCTTTCATTTATGGTAAGATTTATTTTGGTAAAATAGTTACTGTTAGGTGACAGCCACTTTCATGAGAATTTAGATATGGATTTGTTGATTATATTCAAGTGGGCTAAATAACAGTTGCTGAAAGGAGATACCTCTGCTGACAAAACGCCTTTGGAACCCTGAGGTTAACAGAAAATAAATTACAAGTTTACTGTTTGGCCATGTCTTACACGCATAGGTCTTTGTTTTAGGGATATGTTTGGAGAAGACTCTGTGAGTTCAAAAGATGGCTCTGTCCTGTGCGTCACGGTTGATGGCAAGACTGCAAACATTTCGCTGGACACTCGGGTATGTAAAGCAAAGCACTCCCTTTTGTGTCTGGCTATATTTAGCAGAGGGGAGTCTCCCATCTAATATACAGATCTGCCTAGAATATCATGTACCCATTGCTAAGGAAATTATTTTGTATTTGATATCAAAACAGCTTAAGCCTATTCACTTTCCATTATTTCCATTGACATTCCTATCAGTGGATCAGTACCCTGCCTCTCTGAGAGAAGTACTTACCCAGCCTGTGAGCTGAGATCATTGATTTAACAGAAGCATATCCTACAGAGTTTTCTTCATTAAAAAAAAAAAAAAGCTAGAAATGTTTATGTAACAAATGCAGTAAATTTGGAAGAAACATCAGTATCTGTCAGCAGCTCTCTACTTGTATAAAGATGGATAAAGGAAGATTGTAGAGAAGAAATGGATTTAACCCACAATTTCTTTTGTAAATGTTCTTAAAACAGGCTCTGGTCTGAGTAACTGAACAATCAAGAGTAGGAGCAATGGTAATAATTGGGTTTTTGATTGTTTTGTAGATAAACTGAAAGCCTGAAATACTCACAAAAAGAAGTATTTTATTAATTTATTAGCTAGGTTCAGAATTGAATGTCATGCATGTCAGAAGTTTGCTTTAAGAAGCAATCATGCCTAGTTACTAAAAAAATAAGGAATTGTAAAGAATGATTCAAACCATGTCTTTTGTGTTCTTAAGCATTTGAATGTGTTGACTTTGTCATTATTAATAGCACAGTGAAAATATATAATGTATTACCACTACCCATTGTAGTAATCCATTCCAATCTGGAGTAGCTCCCAGATGCTGTCCTGAGGGACCATAACAAATGTTTTAAGTGTTCTACAAACCCAAAAGAAGGTTGATCCCAGCCCAAAATTTCTTACCTATTGAAACAAACTAAATGAATATTAATTATCTCCAGAGGCAGGTGAGTTACAGTCTTGTGGTTAACACACCATGATTGGTATGTCATCTTTTTTCAGTTTTTTAATAAACATATGCTACATTTCAGTGTATACATAGTATAGGAACATAGGACTGATGAAAAAATCTCTTGCAATAGAGAAAAAGGTAACAAGACTGGAAAAAAAACCCATAATGCTTAATCAAGAAGTTAGGCTTCATTTTCATGTAATATTATATTGATGTATATCATTATTGTTAATAATACGTTATTGATGTATGTTATTATTGTGCACTGACAGAAGCCCTAATGGCAGCTCAGCTGCTATCTTGTGTATCTTTGTAATACTTTACATACTGTGTTGGCAGTGGCAAGCTTGTGCCATTGTGAATGAGGTTTCTGTCCTTATGTGCATATATATCTTCTTACAAAACTTTAATGGCCTTAAAATGAAAAACTGTTTAGTATAGATCTGACTATATGGTGGGATTTGTGTATTTACTTTTTCCATGGTAACTGTTAACACAGTGCTCTTAGAGTTCACATGCTTCTAACAGCATTGTCAGATAACATTAAATACATTTGCTGTTTTAAATGTCCCCCCTTTTTTTTCTCTTCACAAACATTTATGGTTGAAAGTTGTTACTTGTTCAGAAGACCAGCAAGTTAATACTGAATTAGAGAAGGTACAGTCTTAGAGCCTGAAAGTCCATAGGATCAAGAATAGTGTTACTATGCAAATGCTGCCCTTTGAGATAGAGCAGTCAGGGGATAATCAGGTTGAATGTTGATCAACTTGTGTGTTTGGGGTGAGCATCTTTCTCTAGGAAGACTTGCTTTACAGATAGATGAATCTCTGCAGGCTTTTATATTGATGCAAATGTTATTTTATGGGTATGGGAATATCAGTGTGGAGGCTCCCTCAGCAGAGAGGGACTGTAGCTCTGTGATGAATGCATGTGTTTTACAGTATTAACCTAATGCAGTGCAGATGAATTCACAGATAAAATGGAAACTCCAAGGACTGAATCTCCTGTGGTTTTATTTGATTTTGAATTAAATGTAATGTACAGAACTTACTGCATTTTACAGAGTAGTTTTGAAACATGTCATTAATCAAACATAACACTTGAGATTAAGTTTCTTGTTCCTTAGCAGGGCTTCCATAAGTCTTCTCTGTACTCTTCTGCATGTTGGCAGACCATTTAAGAACATAAAGTGCTGCTCTTGATAACTCTTTTCCATTTGCATGACTATTTTTTTCGTTTCCCCTGATGAGCACTGCATTGTTCACATGCTGAAAAGGAATATGAAGTGCTGGTTGTTCTAACTTAACGTCTATTTTTTGTTCCCAGACAGTTGACTGTGAGCCAGGAAGTGAAGATGATGAATCCCTCCGTGAAATGGTGGAACTGGCTGCACAGAGGCTTTATGATGCCCTCAGCCCAGTATGCTGACCTCTGTAGATACCTAGGACACACACAAAAAAATCTTTTAAATGTTCAATTTATTTGGACTATTTTTTAAGAGCGAATAAATTTTTTTCTTCAGTAAGTCAGATGTATCAATGCTGTGACTGTGAAACTGCTGAGTTATTTCAAGTAATGGATGAGCAACCTTAGAGCAACTATATTTGTGGATGTATTATAGATTATAATAAAACCAGGCAAAGTGTGCATATATTCTTTCTTATGTGCACATACAAGAAATAAATTCTTAACCTATCTAAATGTAGAATTACAAAAATTAAATTTGAGTTTCATGTTTTTGAAGATTAATGACCAGCTGGAGGATGAATTTGATGTATTTGGTTTTCATATGCTCAGAGTCATAGAATCATAGAATAGTTAGGGTTGGAAAGGACCTTAAGATCATCTAGTTCCAACCCCCCTGCCAAGGGCAGGGACACCCCACACTAAACCATCTCACCCAAGGCTCTGTCCAGCCTGGCCTTGAACACCGCCAGGGATCAAGCATTTACAACTTCCTTGGGCAACCTATTCCAGTGCCTCACCACCCTAACAGGAAAGAATTCCTTCCTTATGTCTAATCTAAACTTCCCCTGTTTAAGTTTTAACCCATTACCCCTTGTCCTGTCACTACAGTCCCTAATGAAGAGTCCATCCCCAGCATCCCTGAAGGCCCCCTTCAGATACTGGAAGGCTGCTATGAGGTCTCCACGCAGCCTTCTCTTCTCCAGGCTGAACAGCCCCAACTTCCTCAGCCTGTCTTCATACGGGAGGTGCTCCAGTCCCCTGATCATCCTCGTGGGCCTCCTCTGGACTTTTTCCAACAGTTCCATGTCCTTTTTATGTTGAGTCAAGCTTGTATAGAATTTTGTTCCTGTCAAGGAAGCATGCATTGCTTCCTTGCAATACAAACTGCATGCTTGCATCTTCTTGAAGTCAAAGAGAGTTTGAACACATATAAAAACCAATCCACGTTTGCATACTGGGGTTAATTAGAGCTTTACAGCTGTGTATACAGGCATTACCATTAACTAGACTAGATGAACAAAACCAGCTTCAAGCAAAGTTTGTGCTTATGACCCGCAACAGCCTCGTACAAATTTCAGCGACAGTTCGCACATGTTTGCCCCTGCCAAGGGCCTTGTCACTCTGCTGGTGGAAGGGTCTTCCTGGGCAGCGTGAAATGTGGTATCTGCATGTGAACTGCAGCATGTGGAGAAGAATGATACTCCCAAGTTAGCCGGGTTGTTGCCAATCAGTAAACTGTGCAGAAAATTGTCCATGGGCAGTGAGTTTTCTTCAAGAGATCTTCCTCTTACACACACAGCTTTTTGTCTCCCCGCTCCCAGCTGTTTTAAATTGGCATCTCATTGATCACAGAAATTGGAACACCAGGTTGGAACGTACCTCAAGGACCATGTGCTCCAACCCTTCTTGGCAAAGTATGGCTAGATGTCCCAGCGCCCTGTCCAGCTGGGCCTTCTAAGTGTCCAACACTGGGGAATCCACCACTTCCCTGGGGAGGTAATTCCAAGGGTTGATTGTTCTCATAGCGCAAATTTCCTCAAGTCCAATTAGAATCATCCCAGGAGTAACTTGTGCCCATTACCCCTCCTCTTTTCCATGTGACTCCTTCTAAAGGGAGTCTCCATCTTCTTTGTAGCCACCCTTTAAACACTGGCAGTATCATCAGTGTACTGTTAGTACTACCACGATTAGTGACAGCTTCCCTCCCCAGCCTGTATGTCATTAGGCATAACAGTATTAAGCCTTTCAAACGCGGTAACTGCATTCTATTTAAAATGAGATACCTCTTTGGAACAGATAAAAAGTCTTATTTTAAAAATTATCCCCGCAAGGCGGGGCTCTCCCACGGGGACCGCCATCTTCTCCAGGCCGCGGCTCCGCAGGAGGACGCGCTTCGCTGTTACGGAGTTGGAAACCAGTTAAACATTGGCGCTGCTGGAACCTCAAGCCACCTCTTAACGTAGAGGAAGCGGCGAGGTTTCCTCCTGCTCCTCCTCTCGCCGTTCCGGCGGACGTCCGGCCGCAGACATGGCGCTGGGGGAGGCGGGTGCTTGCGGGCGGCTCTTGCTGTGGCCCCGCGTCATTCTCTTCGGAGACTCCATCACTGAGGTAGCGGCCCTGCAGCAGCGCCCTGCCGCCGCCCTTGGCTGTGGGGTCGCCGGCTTCACACCGTCGTAATACCGGCGGCCCCGCAGCTCCCGCCGGAGCTCCGGAGCCCCGTGAGCATCCCGGTTCCTTGTACCGGAGTACCGTGGTTTTCCGTGGACGCTGCGCCAGCAGCAGCCCGGAGTTACACTGAGCCTGTGCCAAGCACAGGGCTAGACTTAATTTGTACGGAAAACCGAGCTGGATTCAGCGGGAGGGGGTGCGTGTGCCCTGTCGTGAGGCAGCCTGGCCTCCAGCCTCGCCTGGGGCAGGAGGAGCCTGTCGGGCGGATCGCAGTGACTGAGCCCTGTGAGCCGCTCTCCCCAGGGCTCTGACGGCTGCGGCGGCCTGTGGTCTGGCAGCAGTGTAAAAACCCGCTCTGACCTGGCGGGGCTGGCGGGGCTGGGAGCGGGGAGCAGCCTGGCTCTGTGAGGCGTGAAGGAGGCCGGAGAAGTGGGAGCGCAGCCTAAGGTAGTTGTGTCCCTGTTGGATCTCCCGTGAGAGTGTGCCAGGAGCTTTCACACTGATGGTCATTAATGAGATTTAGAGCCTTGTTGCAGAGAAACTTTAAGTTCCCGTGTTAGCAGTGTGGTCTGGTAAAAGTGTAGTTTCTGGTATTGCAGTGGCAGGGGTGTTTCTCAGACAGGGTTACCTGTAGTGGTCCTCACTCCCGCAGCATTGTAACAGGATGGTGCAGCAGTGGGAATAAAGGGAGGGGATTAATTTTTCCACTGCTAGGAGAGATAGGTGTCAGACTGCATTCTGAAGCAGCATGTGGAGAGAGGATAGTTGAATGGAAGCTCGGTGAAAGGATCTTAGAAAAAGGTGTTAAAACCCCAAATCTCATCAGCTGAGATGAAACTGCAGCCTGGCAGCGGTCCGTTTTGATCACTTGCCTCTGATGCCAGTTGTGCGTCTATGTAAAGACCCAGACTGTTGGACCTCTGCAGGGTAGGCAGGGCAGGCTGGGAGGAAGCGCTGCTGCAGAGAAAAGCCTTTGAGGAGTGAAGGAAGATGCTAGTGGTGGGACTGCCTTGCTGGGGAGTGAGCTTTTCCAGTGACGGTCTAACAGTTTTCCTTCCTCTCAGTTCTCCTTCCGGGAAAATGGCTGGGGGACGTATCTTGCTGAGAGACTGGTCAGGTAAGAGGTTAAATTCCAAAAAGTAATGTCTAGTATGCAAGAACGTGTGCACCTTTTCTAAAAGAAAACCAACACAAGTTAATATTTAATGTATATTTATTTATTAACTATTTATTTACTGGAGTGGAACTGCCTTAGTGGTAGGCTGCCCAGTAGTGGTGGAAGTACTCACTGGGTGTTTCCACTCAAAGCTTGAGTGGAAATTACAAAAATCATAGAACAGTTTGGGTTGGAAGCAACATTAAAGCTCACACAGTTCCAACCCCTGCCATGGGAAGGGACACCTTCCTCTAGACCAGGTTGCTCAAAGCCCCGTCCAACCTGGCCTGGAACACTTAAATCCTTAGGGGTTGTCAAGATTGTTGTTCCTGCACTTTCAAGACACAACGTTATAATCCCATTGAAAACTTCTGTGACACCTCATAATTTCTGAGAGGGACGGGAGCAGGTATCCCGGCAGAGTGGTTCAGAACACCCCAGGTTTTGTTCTGGTGTGCAGAGGAGGACTGTTCTTTACGAGACATGTTTCTATTTCAGAAAATGTGATGTTGTGAACCGTGGGCTCTCAGGATACAACACCAGATGGGCTAAATTGATCCTGCCAAGACTGATCGCTAAAAGTGCTGGTGCTGAGAGTACTGTCGCAGTTACTATTTTCTTCGGAGCTAATGACAGTGCTTTGAAAGGTATTGTACCTTCCCTCCCCACCCCTCACCCCCATGGCTCTTAAGACAGTTTTACAGTTCAGCCAGGAAAGCAGAACATCACACAGACTTTCCTGGTGCTTCTCCAGGAACCAGTTACCCTCTCTTTGTTTTTACAGTGGATCGTTTTCAATCATTTTACTTGTATTTAAACCATGCAGTGCCTTCTATTCCTCTCACGAAGGTTTAATATCAAAAGTAAATGTCAAGGTGCTCAAGAATCAGTCGTATATCCATCACCTAAAATTGGAGTTGGGCATCCTGCTGATTTTTCTGCCTTTAAAGCAGGCTCATGAGTTCTGGCAGATGGGTTGAGGTAATGAGGGAATGAATGCGCAGTTGGATTCTTTTAGAGATAAGCATAGCAGCATGCAGAGCTAGTCTAATCAAAATGATAACATCAGCGCACAAAGGACTGACTGCGCATCTATGGGAATTTCCCAAATTTCCTCTGCACCCGAGAGGGGTAAAAATCTTAGGTTTTGTTTCAGTGAGGTTTGAGGTGATTGTGTGATCTAATACTAAGATACGGGGTTGTAAGAGCATCTAAAAATACATATTTTTCTTTGGTTTTTATTTTTCCCTGTGCCTTATTTGTATTAGTTGAAAGTGCTGTGTTTAAAACCTTGATTTGTCTGCTTTGGATGTTGAGGAGCAGTGTTTTCCTGTCACACCTCCTGGTCCAGTGGTTGAGGTGAACTGCACACAAAATGAGTGCCCACATTCATACGCTGTGTACAAAGCACATTGTACTGTGTAATAAACCTGTGAGCAGTTTAATGTCACTAGTGCTCGTGCTCCATCCCCCAATAGATCTGAACCCAAAGCAACACGTTCCTTTGGAGGAGTACGCTGCGAACTTGAAGAGCATGATACAGTATCTCAAGTCAGTGGACATTACTGAAGACAGGATTATTTTGATAACACCACCACCTCTTCAGGAATCAGCTTGGGAAAAGGAGTGCCTTGCCAAAGGTAAGAGTGATGCGGACAGGCAAAATTTCAGCATTTTCCTGGCGGAGTTTAAGTTCCTGATTGCGGGCTGAGAGGTGATTCGCTTCCTGCTTGTGCCAGGTAGCAGTCATGTTCCTTGAGCTGATGGAAAAAAGGACAAGTAGCTGGCTTGCTAAAGAACTTTTAGGTAAGCTTGTGCAGTAACTACAGACTGATCAGTAACATTCTTTTGAAAGTGTTGTTTGAGCTGTTTGTGCATAGAACTGGCAGAAGTGTCTGCCCTTTGAGAATGCAGGTTGTGCTGTGATGTCCTAGACAGACTACATCATGTCCTCGCAGCTCCCAAAATAACCCGAATTATGGAAGAAATTCTGGCATTGTGTGCCTTAGAAAAATTTATAATAGTCACAATATATTTGCCATCTATTTGGATAAGCAGTAATATCCTAGCCAGGTTTATTTTGAATTTACAGCTCCCTCCCCAAAGATACCATAATCTAAGATGCTAATAAAAGTACCTGGGAAGGAAGCAAAAGGTGATTAAATGATTTTTCATTATGATGTTGTTCAAGGTGTTTCTAAAAATAGAGACAGAAGAGCACTGCTTACTTCGTGTTAGTCAGCTGGTGGAAATTGCCATAATCCCACTGACTCCAGCAGCGACAGTTTATGCCTCTTGAGAGTGAGTCCTCTTTTGGGACAACTTGTCCATTTCTTGCACATTTATAAAAGACTTGAGTTAGATTCAGGTAAATACAGAGCTGTCACCTTAGTATTTGCGGGTTTTCTCTAACTTAGGTGATATTACATGTCCTGAGCTGTGTGCTCAGTCTAGGTGGTAACATTTTGAAGATGATCCCATGTTTAAACTGTACCAAGTTAGGCTGTGTTGTTGCATGACTTTGCATTTGGGGGCTTTGTTGTGTGGTAGTGGTCACTGTACAAAACAGGTTTTGGACTGTATGGACTTTTCAGTCTTATCCAGCCAGGCAGTTTTTATATTTAACGTAGAAAAAGAGAGAAAGTCCCCCAAAGAGTTACACTCACAAATTGTGTAAGACAGCAGCTGTAGCAGGAGAGATCAGACACGGCCAGTACAGTATATGTGGCAATAGTAGATCCTTGGACAGTGACTGAGGGGCAGGTCAGGCATAGATCAGCCTTTCCTGTGTGTGTGCCCAGCTCTCATTATAGCCTTGGTTTCCAACACATGGACCCGTATTGTCCTCTTGAAATGTTAGGTGAGCACACCATGAATGCTGCTTATCTGGCTCCTAGCTATCAAGTAACACCTCTAAAACGTTGTTAATTCATTTTCATCTTAAACCTATCCTTTTCATGGGGTAGAGAGGGAGGAAACTTGCATTTACAGTGTTGAATCTGCCAGCATCTGTCTGAAAGAGTTTGCTCTCTAGGGATGGAACAAAAGACAGGGTGATCTCAGACCGTGGACCACAAATGGAGTATTGTGGGCACAGTAAGCAGCATTTTTGGATCATCTGCCCTCAACTATTATCCAGGGGAAATGTTGTGGTTATTTTTGGTTTTGTCAGAGATCAGAGCAAAGGAGAGAGAGGTGTGAAACATGAGGGTGATGATGTTCACAGGAACATTCATTCAGGTGTGAAAAGAGGTGCGAAAAGAAGCTCAGCTTCTGAATCCGAATGCTGAGGGAGGTGGAGTCAAAGCCCTTACTAAGGTCAGAGCTGCTCTTCATCATCTGCATAGCCATTAATTTATTGCAGAAAGCAATCGAGTGGTCAAGCATT